GCGATGCTTTTCCTGATGCCCCCCAGGACACAGTTGGCCCTCCTGGCTGCCAGGGCACTGCTGACCCATATTCAACTTGCCATCGACCAGGACCCCCAGGTCCCTTTCCACAGCAATGCTCTCCGGCCTCTCATTCCCTAGTCTATACACACAGCCAGGGCTGTCCCATCCCAGGTGCAGAATCTGACACTTGACTCCAGAGACTCCAGAGAGCAATGCAGATAAATTTGTAACTGCCCTCTCTCTGTCCTAAATAATGGGGTGGTGGATGCAGAGATATTTGCATCTGTTTTCCTTTAAGTGATCACACATTAGAATGCATAATTTAATCACAGCATCCGGAATTACCAAAGTGTGAATATTTGCAAGGAGGAAAGGTCTGAAAATAAGATTACCTTTTCAGAAAAATAAAATAAACAAAATAAAATAAGGCAAAACCACTTTCATTTTTTACTTTGTGACCAAACAGTCACAAAGTAAAAAATGCAACTCAAAAGCAATAGTGCCAAGGTTGTTTATAAAACTATGATATCAAATTAAAATAATTCAAATTTTTTACAGGTTAGACTTCAGAAATAGTTGCTATTGCTGTTCAATATGTGCCCAAAATTCCTGTTGAGTGGAACAGTATTATTATTCAAAATCAGTTGCCTACAAAATTTTATTAGTAGCCTAAAAAGAACATCATATTTTATTCATGAATATGAGACTAAAGTTGTTTTTTGCCCTAACATTTCCATAATGAATAGCAAAACTACTGCTGAAATATGCTGCAATTATGAGATACAATCCTAAGAACAATGCTAGGAAAAGGCATTAGCACACTTCTTTCCCCTGCCCTGATTCCTTCCACTTTTTTGAAATTTCTATTTATAGCAAGAATCTTAATAGACATCCTTCAAACGTAAATGCTTCTGTAACTGCAGTTTCAGAAAACCATACTGCAAGCGTCTATCCATCAATATAAATTACATCTTAACTCTGTATCCAGGAAAGAATAATTATCCAGACAAATTAAGACAACAAATACCCCAGCCACCCTTCTATCCTCCCCAAAACCTTTTAATAACTGCCCCTGCTCATGTATAGTAACAATTACACTCCATTTTAAGTGAAGGAAAGAAAACAGCAAATATTAAGAACTCACAAAAAGGTTATTTTTACAATACCACCACTTACATTGTGTAAGTATGTCCGGGTTTTGTCTGTGGTAATGTTAACTTTCCTCCCAGTGGGTGGTATGGGGCTGTATGTTGGATTTGTGCTGAACATAGGGTTGATAACATAGAGATGTTTTTGCTATTGCTGAGCAGAGTTTACACTTACATAAGCATATAAGCAGAGCTTATATGATTTTCATACTGCCACGCTGGCAAGAAAGGTGGGAGGTTGGAAGGAGACACAGCTGGGACAGGTGATCCAAAATGATCCAATGGATATTCCAGACCATATGACATCATGCTCAGTCTATAGAGCTGGAGGGAAGAAGGAGGAAGGAGAGATCTGGAGTGATGGTGTTTGTCTTCCCAAGTAACTGTTACACATAATGGGGCCCTGCTCTCCTGGAGAGGCAGAACACCCGCCTGCCCATAGGAAGCAGTGAATCAGATCTTTGTTTTTCTTTGCTTGTGTGCACACAGCCTTTTCTTTCCCCATTAGACTGTCACTATCTCAATCCAAGAGTTTTCTGGCTTTCAGCCCTCTGATTCTCTCCCGATCCTGCTGGTGGGGGAAGTAAAGGAGTGGTTGCCTGGGGCTTGGCGTTGGCTGGGGTAAACAACAACAAAGTACTTATGCCAAACTTTGGTTTTAGCTTAATCATTTTGGCACATCAAAGATTCATCCAAGTATCTGATACTAATGTAATCAATACCAAAAAAAAGTCACTCTTTTCAGTACTTGGGAAAAAAAAATCCAATTAACCAACAGAACTGGTCTTTTATTTCAGAAAAGCCATCTGATGAGCCAAGTCACCATGCAAACATTGCATATTTTCAGTAGAATTAAAATGTCAGCTTACAGGAAGAATGGACAAGACTGGGAAAGATGACATATTAGCTCTTAAAAAATTAATCACTTCTCATCTTTACCATTTCTTTATCAATTATATGTTGAAGATATCAACTTCTGGAAAGACTTCTAAAAGTTGGTTCTTTAGCTTTTCTGCAATATAGGTCAATCAAGAATAAGGTAAATTTAATCTACATAATTTGTTTATCGGCTTCAACCACAAGAAAAGGTGTACCCAAGGAGGAACTGAGTAGAGGAAATGATTAAAAAACAAGGGGGGGGAAAAAAAGTGCTTTATGTTTACTCTTTCATCCAAACATAAGTTTAATAAAAAATAAAATTTTGATTTTCAGTCTTACTGTCATAAACATCAGAGGTCCAAATGTTAAGCTTTCATTCAAATCATGACATTTATTCTAGAGGATGCAATTCTGTGTGGAGCTCCTCATAAAATCCCTCTGTGCTCCTCATACATTTTGGATGCTGATGACAAAGCATAGGAAAAATAACCAAGACACACTTGAAAAACAAACTTGCCTTCTCCTTCAAAAGAGGGGCACTGAAGACTAAAGAGTTGCCTAGCTGAGATGGTACGTACATTTTCCCCTGAAAGCAACCTCCTCTGACAGCTACAGATTCACAACAGTCAGTCTGCCAGTTGGCACACCACTGTTGGAGCTGCTGCGATGGAGACCAAAAACAATCAGCTGCTGTGTACAGCTTAGTTTCCACTCAAATCCATAATGACAATTAATTCTGTTCACAAAGGCTGCCTTGAAGTGTTCTAAGTTTACAGATCTGTTGCCAAGAGCTGCTGGATCCCATGATAATACAAGTATGTGCACAACCATTCTATTCTGATATTTTACAAAAATATGGGCAACCATCAAGGTCATCACTTTCACAGGTCTGCTGCATGGTAGGGCTTCTACATGTACATGGAGAAACAATGCGTGCACCACGTTACCCCTCCACCTGCAGGCACTGCTCGCATGCAAGATCAGCGCAAGCAGAGATTCTGAGTTATACTGATTTATTCCCTTCCAAACCATGCACTTATGGTGGAAGCAGCAAATGACATAAACACTATCACACACTGTCAGGAAAAAAAAAACAGCAAAAGTACGGCCTTAATGTGCTTCAAAACAATGATACTTCTAAAATGTATCAACAGGCATTCTTTAACAATTTATTTCTTCAAAGTAACTAAGAACAGGGGGCAAGGTTGATCAAGCTGCTTGTACAGCACCTACCAAATTGCTTACACACAGCATGGCTTTTAAGAAATCTAGAAGACAAACAAGTCCTGTTTAGTTTAATGTGTCGTAAAACATCAGCTGGACCACTGCAATTTATGAGGCTTTAAAAATCCCATTAGCAGAGATTTTCACCCTAAGAGAAGAGCAGGGACCAGTACAGCCCTTCCCATTTACATTAAAACATTGACATGTTTCTACCCATCTGCAGATGCCTGTTGCATTGCTGTTATAAAGAAGGAATATTGATTAACACATTGACAGACTGTATTTATGGCTAAGAAAAAAAGTATGTAGAAATAACACACTGCAAAGCTGGAAAATAATTTTTCACCTCTTCTCATCTTTCCTCTTTCCAAAAAGGTGATCACAAACTCAGTGACTGAGCACTCTCAATTTTACCAGTCTCACATCGACAGAGCAAAGTAGGCATAGTGCAGATGCTTAAAGTGGAACCATGACTATCACCTAAGTAGTTTTAGCACTCCATATGGGTAAGACAAATCACCAAAATTCATATTAACCCAAGGAAAACTTTTGCTTCTTTCACCATCTCCAGTGTGTTTTTATGGAAAAAAAATTAATAGGAACTAAGTAATTATGAATCAATTTAAACTATTTTGAGGTTGAGATGTCCTACAAGCAGTTTTGGCCTAAAGAGGATCCTTTAGGTTAGAGAAATATCCCTGTATTCAAACTTTAAGAAGCTTTAATACTGTAATTGTCTCTTCTTCAAAAAAAAAAAAAAAAAAGGGAGATTTACTAGAAGCAGACTGTACTGACAGCATTCCACCCTGTGCATATCAGTTTGAAAAGTTGCTTCATTTTCAGGTTTTAACAGGAAGACAGTATAACTTCCCTGTAGTCTGGAACTTTTCAGCTAATTATTAGAGTTAGTATCATAGAAGACTAAAAAAAAAAAGCAATGTATTTCTAATGTTTTCTAATTAGTATACAGGCAGCACAAACATGTGGAAGCACCATTCTGAATTATCTTCCACAACATTTTTGTTCACTGAACTCTACAGAAAGTTTTCTCCAAGGATTAAACTCAATTTTAGAATCAATTTCCTTCAATTTCCTTCATGATTTCTATTTGCTTTACTGAAAACGTATGTAGTAAAATTTCACTGGCATTTGTACCAAGAATTGGTTTCTAAGACTTAGCTTCATCTAATGAAGATTAAAGATGTTACATGGGAGAGCAATATTTTCCAAGGTCTCAGAATATTAGAAGAAAAAATAATTAAAAAAGCTCCAAGAGCTATACTTTCTTATAATTAATTTTAGAGAAAGAGGAAAGAATTTGAAAAAACTACATTCACTAAGAGTTTTTTACCACGGGGTTGTCAAATTCCCACACTTGAGTAAAAACTATTAGTTTTACTTCAGCGACACCAAATGGTTAGTCAGACAAAGCAAATCAAAGAAAGAACCAAACAGAATAGCAAGACAAACCTAGTACCAGGTAAGAACAGAACTGCAAACAGCCAAGAGTTTGACAGTAGCCACTCGAACCTTCAAGAGTATAAAACTGAGATCATAAATACTACAACCTAGAGGAAGAATATCAAGTGTTTCTGACTACCTTGGGAAATCAGAAGCTTGTATCAAAAGTGAATATGCACACTTGAAATAAAAATTAGGAGCACTGTTGGTTGTTAATAAAGACATTGAAAAAAATACCTCTATAGTTTACAGAGAATCAGAAAATGCGCAGACAATCCTGCTCACCTGTCTTCACTAAAACGTCGACCAACCAAAATTTTACATTTGTCTGGAGGGAGACAAGCTGCTAGCAAAGGCACTGTCCTTAACACTCGACTTTCCTGTAAAAAAAGAAAATTTACTTTTGAATCAAATCAAGGAAGGCTTCTATGAATGCTTAAAGCTCTCATTTTCTATCAAATTCTCTTGACTACAGTTACAGAAAAGAACCTTACCACATAACAGGAAAAAACAATCTACAAGAAAAATACCCAATCTTGGTGCTACAAATTGTATTGTTTTGATGACAGCATTTAGATTTTAACTCTAGGCTAACAGTATCAAAAACAGTAACAAAACTTCTCAGACAAATAAAGAATAGGCAACAAAACAGCCTTAGCATTAATAATGTCTCTATACCAGAAAATGAGGGGAGAGCTCGATTTCCACAAACAGATGCTAAAATTAAAAGCACTGGGTGCATCAGACCAGACACTGTGAAATGCAAACATCTCCACTCCGCTGTCACTTCATTTCACAGTAACCAGGACAATGACACCTATGCTGCCATGAATCTTCCAACTTATGCCATTCAGGCTGTATTGATCAGGCATCTGCCTACATCTTTGTGACACAGAGAGGAAGGTGACCACCACGCTCGAGTGGGGAGCAGGGGCTCTTCAGATCTCAGAGCATTAAAGAGAGCTACATGGAAGCAGGATTTCAGAAAGTGGAGGAGGGGTGAAGTAATAACAGCTGAAACAAACTATCTACTCGTCAAACAGAGGAATTTATTTCTGTTCTTTATTTAACACAGCTGGGAACAAACTTTTTGTCTAGACAAGAACTTAATGCAAACTGAGCTTCATTTGTGGGATGTCAATTTTTGTTTTCCCATCAAGGAAATGGAAGCAACAGAAAGCCAACACTAAAACACTGAATGAAAGTTTCAGTTACTTTATTTATCGTAAGATGAACAGGTTAATAGCTGAATCTAGCAGGGGGCAAGCACTAGATGTCAGGTGAGGATTATGAAAGCCCTAAACCCAGTAAAAGAAAGAGTTCTTACAACACAATGCACATCTTACAATCTGAATGTCTCATGATTCAGACCATGAAAATCCAAACATCAATCCCTAAACTATGGGATTCATTAACGAAACCCCAAGGGGGCTTTTGGTCTGCCTTTTGATTTAAGAGCCTTACCTCAAAAACACAATATTTGTGAACATGTGAACATGAGGCTCTGATTAACTCACTCTAGGCAGATGTTACTTTCACAAGCATCAATGTGCAGCCATCTGCACTCTCACATTGTCTTGCTACCAAACTCCTGTTAAAATAGTTTTGTGAAAACTTTTATTACTGTTGCCTAAAACCTCTATTCGTTTTGCTTTTTCTGATCCTTATCTACTGATCCTCTATAAATAAAACATCGTGGAGTTGAAGGACTAAGTTGTTCTGCTACATCCACCACTATTTCTCATGGCAGCAGCAGCGTAATGTCTCCCAGGGACAGATGAAGATCAAAGTACCTTGGGAGTGAAGTGCCAGCAAAGGGAGGGAGAAGTATTCTTTAAACTGACATCAATTTCTTCTACCTCAAAACAGCAGAATCAGCCATCAACAGTGTCATAGTATTACTTGCTTTTATTTCATCATAATTAAATAACATTCCAATTCACTAGTCAGAAGTCTCCCTTCTCCATAAGAATGTAACAAGTGGCAATAAAGGACCTGGAAGAAAATCAATTATTTGCCTCTGATAAGCAAAACCAAAAGAGCTGTCAGCAGTCAGGAGAAAGTTATTCAACTATTCTGTCCAATGTCACATCATTGCTTCAGAATTACCTTTCATTCAAATAAATACATTCTTTTACCAAAATAGAAAACTGAGTTTTCCAATCTAAAAACAATATGTGCTTATAGGAAGATAAAACATGAAATGTAAAGCTCAAAGGAATTGAGAACAGAAGCTTAAGAACAGTTAAGTCAAACTAACACTAAAAAAGGTTTCATTTGTTTATAACGTTCTTCATTAAAGAATTTGTATTTAACTAGACTATAGATAACTTATTTGTTATCCTACCAACAATTTTCCATTTACTAGTTTGAAAGTGAGCAGTTACTCTCTTTGTTCTTCTCAGTGTTCTAGCAGTTATTTGCAACTCTTGGCTTATTAATTATTTGACTATTAAAGTATATGAACAGAAACAGGACTGGGGGACTTATGTGGTGGGCTGACCTTGGTTGGCCTCCAGCCAAGGTGCCCACCAGCCACGCAATTACTCCCCCTTCTCAGCAGGACAGAGGGGAAAAAATAAGATGAAAATGAACTCTTGGGTCAAAAAGGCCAGGGGTGGAAGCAAAAGACAATAAAAATATTTTATTCTTATTTCCCATCAGCAGGTCAAGTCCAGCCACTTCCTCAGAAGCAGAACCTCAACAGGTGTAGCAGTTCCTACAGAAGACAAATGCCTTAATCACAGATGCCATTCCCCACCCACCCACCCCCAGCTTTTACTGTGTCATGAGGTATGGAACATCCCTCTGGTCAGCTTGGGTCAGCTGTTCTGGCCATGTCCCCTCACAGTCTCTTGTCCACCCCCAGGCTACTGGCCTTTGTGGGCATTTTGGAGGGACAGCCCCGATGCTGCGTGAGCACTGCTCAGCACTAGTCAAACTCTAGTGGCATGCTACTGTGGTGACTGCAACATGGAAACTTAATTCCATTCCAGTTGGACTCAAAACAACTTACTTTTGTTGTTCTTTTTCTTTTCTGGGGATTTGTGGTAATTTTGGTTACCATAGCATTATCCATCGACAATGAATAGGACAGTTCAAACTAATAAATATATTTATTAAAGCCAGGAGATATATATTTCTTCCATTTTTTTTTTCTGAATTGCTAGGACAAGCAGCAAGAATTTCCCCCTTACATTTGAGTCCTGCTGTTCAATAAGGAATACTATACAGCAGAAGTACTATAACGAGCAAGTCAAAGCTAATTCCTGGCATTAGATCAATACATAGAATCATTAAATTTTCTTCTCAGATGCTTAACACCGAAAATTCTTACTCTTACAGAAAGAAAGAAGGCAGGGAATGAAAACAACTTAAACAGACACCCTCTGCTATGCTTTAGGGGTTCTGTCCCAACTTATACTTATCATCCAGCTTTTGAAAAGCACATAATGGCCTACATTGTACTGGCAGTCACATTAAGAATGATCAAAGGTAAAAGTAAGACAAAAGTGTACAGGGGTTTATACTCTTAGCTGTGTCACTGATCAGTCCTACGGATCATAAGAGTAGGCATGAAACAGGAAAAATGACAGTTGTTTTTTTTTTTTTACTTCTACATATATATATATATTTACATATAAATTTATCTATATGCAAAGAAGAAAAATAAATTACTAGGCATATAAATCTTTCACTTTTGCACTAGTCCTGATGCTGGGTTTCTTTATATTTAGTTTTTAAATTACTCTCACAATGAATAATGGTACAATAACAGTACCATCTGAAAACAAGTATTTGCCCCTTGATACGGAATGCTGAATTCCAGATTCCTTCACAAATAAAAATCTAATTAATTCATGTACCTATTATGCAAATAATTCCTCACTTGTGATCCACTGTTCTACAGTTCCTCTCTCTTTCACATGCACAGGTCTTTCTGGCAGCACGGTCTCTGGAAAGTATGAATGTGGAGACTTAGTCACATTAATCAGGCACCAGGAATGTTGCTCCTGACTTTCTACATTACTATCTTGCCTGAATACAAGTCTCAATAGCATCATTTAACCATAGTTGAAGGCTTACTTCACCGCACTGCAGACTTCCAAAGACAATAAATAATGAAGCACATGAAGGATGACAGTTGGGGCTGACATGCAGTAAGGGAAAAACATTCACTATCTGGTTAATTCAATGAGATATTTTTGAAACTGAGTGTACCTGTAATGAAATGGCAGACTGAAGGATCAGATGCAGTTCAGAATGCTTATCTGCATTCAAGATCGATTCTGTTTTGAGTATGAGCAACCACAAGCAAATGGAACTTACCTCTTGTCAGGTACGCCCCTGCTGTTATGGAATCAAAAGCATCACCTGTGAACACTTTCAAAGACCACTGTAAGATGTTCTTAGCTTCCCACCATTTGTTTGGATTTATCTCTGATAAGCCAAGTGCCCTCATATAGCCAGATAGTGGTCTTCCAATACTGTGTGAATTATTATTATGCAATATATACTAACAGAAAACTTGCATCCCACTGTAACAGACAACTGTTGTGATTGCTGATTAATAAAATTGTAGACAGTCACTCAGACTGTCACAGGTATGGTGTATGAAATCTAAAAAAAACCTGCCAACTTTTTCTAATACCTTCCACTATGAATAGGAAATTCAACACAATTCAAATGCCAGTTCAAAGTCTCTGACGCATTTTTAAACCCTTATTTCCCTTCAAGTTACTTTAGCATATATAGAAGTACTTCTGAAATAAGAAGTAACACAGAAGAGTATTCCTATTATAATTATGTGAATTAAAAATTACAGTTTTCCCATTTAGGGCCCAAATATGTCATGGCCTCTGTTTTGTTTCCCTGTGAGAGAATACTTTTTTTAAACTTGCTTTTTTGCATTCTGTTTAAGTTCCTTCAGGCAAAGACTCTTTGCATATTGGCCGAGCTACTGTAAAATGTCAAGCTGGACCACAAGAGAACAGCTTTCTGAACTTCACAGTCTTATCTGTAGACCCACCATCTACCCAAATAACTGCAGTAGCTGCAGTTCAATTTCCAAAACCCTTATGATACACAGACCAGAAAAACATTAATATATATTCTCCTATTGGTAAACCAAAACTTACTGTTCTGAGGCTAAATAGTTTTCCATTGGCTAAAATAGCTAAGGTCATCACTACAATGAATTGCTTAATTCATATTTTTAACAGAACACTAACATCAATAAAAGACCACTGCCATAATCAAACACATTCATCCCTGTATCAACTCCAAACACTTCTGTGAGACACTGTGTTCGTAGAATCCTAGAATATGCTGAATTGGAAGGGACCCATCAGGATCATTGAATCCAACTCCTGGCCCTGTGCAGGACACCCCAAGAATCACACCATGTGCCTTTATGTTATTTAATGTTATTTAACAATTATTTTATTTAATGTTAATTAATGTTACTAATTTTTACAATTTGTACCAAGGTAAGCAGATTTCAGATTCGAGTAGGACTATTCAGATAAGATGAGATGTCTTGCATGCATGGTATTGCAGAAATAAGATGTGATTTCAGAAGATAAAATAATTCAGAAGAACTGAACAAAAAATACCGTAACTCAGCTGAACTGGCATTCAATCATCAAATTTAAAAGGAAAAATCATGATATGACAGTTCTGGTTTTGGCTGGGATAGAATCCATGTTTTTCCACTAGCTTGTACAGTGCTGTTTTGGATTCATGATGAGAATAATGTTGATAGCAACAACCAAAACACCAGTGTGCTAAGTAGTGTTTACCCTAAGACAAAGAATTCTCAGTGTCTCACACCCTGTCAGTGAGGAGGTGCACAAGAAATCCTGAGAGAGCATGTCCAGGTCAGATGACTTAAACTGGCCAAAAGGATATTCCATACCAAAGAATGTCATGCCCAGTATATAAACTGGGGATGGCCAGGAGCCACCAATTACTGCTAAGGGATGGGATGGGCATTGATCAGTGTGTGGTAAGCATTGTATTGTGCATCACTTGTCTTTCTTGGGTTTTATCTCTCTCTCTCTCTTCTTTTTATTGCAATTATTATTGCTATTATTATCATTAGAATTATTAGTACTATTATATTTTACTTTGTTTCAATTATTAAACTGTTCTTATCTAAACCCACAAGTTTTTACCCCCTTTTCACTGATTCTCCTCCCCATCCTATCTGGCACAGGGGAAAGTAAACTTAGATGATGGCTGGGGTTGAAGCATGACAATGATGGTAACAGCATAGCTGTTTCCTCTTGCCTACCATTTGCTGCATTAAGATTCTAGATGAACTCTCAACAGTTAGCACAGCCTTACTCACCTCTGCTGGATGCTGGATTATATACAAGCAGGTGGAGACCTTTAGCGGATGTACGGGCAGGAATGGACACAAACACACCTTCTGAGGACGGCTACATGGCAAAAGAAAGCAAAAGAACAACAAAAGCAATCAGCAATTTGTGAAAGATGATGTAAATACACTGCACAAATACACACTGCATCCCAGAAGGCACAATGAGAACTTCTTCTTACAACACTGTACTAAACCTGATTTTTTTTTCATGGCTAGGCTTCGCGAACGAAGATTTGGGAAAGGCTTTATCCACATTTGTTACAGGCACACTGGTGGCTAATAAGGCAAATACGAGACAGACATGTCCGATTGCAAAAGGTACAGCAGAAAGACTCCTTAGGTGGTAAATTCTGCAAGACACGATTCTTTCTGCGCTGTCTTTTCTCCTCGAGAGTGATCCTGCGTGCTTTCTCAAAGGAAGTAGCAGCGTTATAGATGGTGTGTCTCCAGACCTCTTGATTGGAGGCCAGAGTAGACCAGTTATGGTGATCAATATGGCCGAGGCTGAGATGTTGTTTCAGGGAGTCCTTGTGTCTTCTCTTCGGGGCTCCTCTCTTGTGGCAGCCGGTGGCAAGTTCACCATAAAGCAGGATCTTAGGGAGGTGGTGGTCCTTCAACCTGGAGACGTGTCCTGCCCAGCACAGCTGTGTTCTCAATACTTTTGACTGCTGCTTGTTCTAGAACAGATGTATTGGTCACATAATCTGACCAGTGGATGTCTAAGATTGTATGGAGACAGCGTTGATGGAAGCATTCTAAGAGACGCAGGTGGTGGCAATAGATGAACCAAGATTTGGAACCATATAAAAGAGTAGACAGCACTATGGCTCTGTAAACACTGATTTTTGTACTTTTCTTCAAGTGTTCGTTACGCCAAACTCTTTTATGCAGTTTTCCGAAAGCACTATACGCCTTTGCTAATCTGTTGTCTATCTCCCCATCAATCTTACCATCCAAGGAGATGAGGCTGCCTAGGTAATTAAACTGCTGGACTGATTTGAGCTCTGATTGGCCAATGGTGATATGGGGATGATGGAAGACTTCCTGAGGTGCAGGCTGATAGAGAACTTCTGTCTTCTTCAAGCTGACTTCCAGCCCAAAGAGCTCAGCAGTGTCTGCAAAGCAGGATGTTAAACGCTGCAGAGCTGCTTCTGTGTGGGCAACAAGGGCGGCATCATCAGCGTAAAGCAGCTCCCGGACAAGATGGTTTAAGGTCTTAGTGTGGGCCTTCAGTCGCCTTAGGTTGAAAAGGCTTCCATCGGTACGGTATCGAATGTAGATACCGTCCTGATCATCGAGGCCTGCCGTGGCCCTTTGGAGCATCATGCTGAAAAAGACTGTGAATAGAGTTGATGAAAGAACGCAATCTTGTTTCACACCATTGGTAATTAGAAAGGGCTCAGAAAGTGCATCACCATATCTGACTTGGCCGCACTGATCCTCATGGAGATGATCATTTTAAGGAACTTGGGGGGACATCCTAAACGTTCCAAAATCTGCCACAGACCTTTTGTGCTCACAGTATCAAAAGCCTTGGTGAGGTCAACAAAGGTTACATAGAGACCTTTGTTCTGTTCCCTACACTTCTCTTGCAGTTGTCTGAGAACAAATACCATGTCTGTGGTACTCCTGTTGGCTCTGAAACCACATTGGCTTTCAGGTAGAATTCCTTCTGCTATAGCAGGTATTAATCTGTTCAAAAGTATTCTTGCCAGGATTTTGCCAGCAATGGAGAGCAGAGTAACACCACGGTAGTTTGAACAGTCTGATTTATCTCCCTTCTTCTTATACAAAGTGATGATGACTGCATCACGAAGGTCTGATGGTAGTTCGCCGAGTTCCCAACAGCACACCACAAACTCGTGAAATTTAGCATGGAGTGCTTGGGCCCCATGCTTCCAGATTTCAGATGGAATTCCATCAACCCCAGCTGCCTTGCCAATTTTCACCTGCTGTATGGCCTTAAGAGTTTCTCCCAAAGTGGGGGCAATATCCAAATCATTCTTCACTGTTGTTGTGAGATGGACTGAATTGTTCAGTCTTGAACTACTCGACTAGTACTGAAAAGAGTCTGAAGGTGTTCAGACCATCAATTCAGAATGGAGGTTTTATCTGCCAGAAGTTTTTGACCATCAGCACTGAGTAGAGGGCTTTGTACCTGGTATGCAGGCCCGTATGCTATTTTCAAGGCCTCACGGAATCCTCTGTGATCACCTGTATCTGTGCATAACTGAGTTTTCTCAGCTAGATTGATCCACCACTTGTTCTGGATGTCACAGAGCTTCTGTTGGAGCTTGCTGCATGCAAGACAAAAGGCTGCTTTTCTTACGTGACAGGAAGGCAGTGCAAGGTGTGCTTGGTGAGTGGTTCTCTTCTTCTTCAACAATTCCTGGATCTCTTGATTGTTTTCATCAAACCAGTCCTTGTTCTTCTTGAAGGAGAACCCTAAGGTTTCCTCAGAGGACTGCAGGATGCTGTTTTTAATGCAGTGCCAAATTGTTTCAGGAGAGGAATCTGCAGAATCTATGGAATGGTTTTCGAGCCTAGTTTGAAGGTTTGCCTGGAATCTGTCTCTCACCGTGGCTGATTGGAGATTGTTAACTTGGAGTCTCCTCCTTGGGATACTGCCCTTTTTTGGTTTGAACTTAAGGTTGAAGTTAAGTTTGAAGCGCACAAGTCAGTGGTCTGTTTGGCATTCTGCACTGGGCATCACGTGGGTATGGTGGACATCGCGGACATCCCTTCATTGCACCAAGACATAATCAATGAGGTGCCAATGCTTAGATTTAGGATGCATCCAGGTTGTCTTCAGACTATTTTTCTCTTGAAAGATAGTCTTAGTGATGATGAGCTGCTGCTCCGCACAGAATTCTAGCAGAAGGCCATTCTGCAACGACCATTATCGTTGCAGTTTCCAACACCATGCTTGCCTAATACTCCTTTCCAGGCTTCAAAGTTATTACCTACTCTGGCATTGAAATCACGAAGGATTATGATCTTATCACCTGCAGGAACCTTTTGGATAAGGCAGCGCAGGTCTGTGTAAAATTTATCTTTTTTGGCAGGGTCAGCTTGGAGAGTTGGGGCATATATACTAAAGAGGACAGCACATTGCTTGTTGTGAAGTGGAAGACATGGGGAGATAATGTGATCAGAATGGCCTGTTGGCAGATTCTTGAGTTTAGAAACAATAGTTTTTGATCATGAAGCCTACTCCCGAGAGGTGCCTTTCGGTTCTAGGTTTACCTGACCATAAACCTGATGTAATTTTGTTTGAAATTCCCTCCATTTCTAAAATTAAAGAAGCAAGGCTTTCATTCAAACATTTGAGAACAGTGCACAAACCCTCCCTGTGGGCTGGTTAGAGTTAAAGCACTCTAAAAATCCTTTTGTCATATTCAAGATGAGCAGCTTACTAGTATCTATAACCCTATCAGAGAATTCTGTTACTGCTTTCCTAACAAGTTAGTTTCAACAATTTGATATACTATTATAATAGAACAATGTCTATAATTTACATATTTATAAGATTGATTAAAATAAAACATTTCAGAAGTATCCAAACATGAAACCCCAGACATGCTGTATTTAAGTTTTTTGTAATTCCATTTATGTTGAAATACGTAGCAGAAATATGTTTTCAGTAGGAAAACAGAGAATTCCTTATTAGGAACTTCTAATCTAAGTTTGAAAAAAAAAAATCTATAATTCTTCAGTATACTGCATGAAGCTGTTGGAATGGCTAACTAAAGAATTGTGTCTGAAGAAATTAACTTAAATGTTGCTTGATATGAAACTGATATGCTGAATGATCAAGAATAAACAGAAGCAAAGAACAAAGTTTGAAGTTATAGACTAATTGAAGTTGTTACTCCAGAAAACCACACATACGTGCACGTGCACGCACAGATATCACTCTGGCTACTTGCATATGTTATTCAAGAGCTCAGAGAAATTAAGGACTTCCTTAACAGCAAAGCTATTGCCTGTTTTCACCAACTAAAATCATACCAACCCTGCAAACAAAGCTCTTTGAGCTTAACAAATACAAAGTCAGTATTTTCAGCACAATGATAGGGGCTTGGAGCACTCTTTCACCTGCATCCTCCTCGTAGTCTTCATTGGCAACAGTTCACGTGTTGCTCACATATCAGAGACACTAAGGAATCAATCACTGCAGCAGATACGATTCACAGAAGTGAATTCTGAAGACAGGCTCAGATTAAATTCATGACAAGCCTGTCACTGAATGTGCTCGTCCACAAGAGCACAAACTCACACAAGATGTACTAAGTATTGTTACAGTAGTCCAAGCCAATACAACTGTTTCCTAATCAAACAGTAAGGTAGTAACAACAGGTAAGCTCCTCCTTATCAGCTGACAGGTTGTGTTAATTGAAACTCCCTATTTCTAGCTGCAGCTACTGTGGCTGAGAGACTATTCCCTTCTCCACAGGGAAAATATTTTAAATATTTTAATAACTTTTAAAATATTTTAAATTATTAAATAAAAATAAATTATTAAATAAAAATTAAATATGTTAAAATATTTAGACTAGAAGGCCCACAGGCAAGCAATCAGTCTAATAACAAATTGGAAATTACTCTGATACACTCTTCTGGTATACTGTTCCAGTCGCCCATGTTTGTCTTTTGTTCACACTTCTGGTGCTGGCAATTTTCTGTTGCTAATTCTGCATAAATTTGGCACATTCTCTTATATAAGGCCAGGCTGTGGGCCTAGAACTAAGTACTCAACAATTTTACTATTCAGTGCGCTACTCTTGGGACCTTCATCATGAATGAACTGAAACCAACCTCACTTTCAGGTCTAGTGGGTTGTTCTCCAGTGCTGTACCATTGCTTTTTCCCAAAATTTTCTCATGTGTAAGCAATTTAAACAGAAATTTCTGAAAACGGTTTTGTTAAGAACTGGAAGCAGCAAGTACTGCAGAGGCTGTTTGTTGCCTGTGCCCTGATTGTTAGGTAGAAGTTCATCCTCTTTTTGATCATCAGAAACTCAATTTTTTACCAACTGTGATTCCTTGGTTTCTCCCC